TAATCCAAGACACCATTGGTGAAGGGATTCCAGATGCATTACATGTCAGTGTCAAATTGTTGCCTTCTGTTACATTCTGATCTTGTATTACTTGTATGGAAGAAGGTACTACAATTTTAAAACAAATGAACAGTATAATTAGTTATGGTTTCACATGTACATGGGATAAACAACAACTGAGTAACCCAAAGTATTAGACCTTTCTTTGGGATTTTGCTACAACAGCTCCACTGAAGGTATGACACCCATTAATGCAAGGCTGCTTTAAGCTTGTGGTAGACAATAGTTGACCAATGGGACAAAATACTTCATATTTTCTCCCACGACTGTTAAAGCAGAGCTGTGGCACCTCATTTCTTTCGCAACATCAGCTTATCCCAACACAAAAACATTTCCAGGATGACCCCTCCAAGAACAAGCTCAGAGATGATGTATGGAACCCAGGATTCACGAACCCCCTTCTTTGGCTACACTTAAGATATGTCAGAATGTTTAAGGAGTTCTCTGACTCAAGACTCAGTTCTGTGGAGGGGTTGTGTCCTTTCAAAGGTACTAAAAAGGCAGAGATTATCAGTATGCACTTGGCAGCCTGCAATAACAAGCACATGCCCTACCAAATTATTGATGAGAAATACAGCACAGTGGTCAAGCATCGCCGCTACCAGTAGTGCACTAAATCAACAACAAGAATTTCCCTCCTGAGGCAATTACTAGCTGCTGAAATAGTGAAGATGCAACCTCATTTTTTACACATTACCGATAATCTTATTCTGTGAGATTTAAAAAAAATGGGTAAAGGTAAAGAATCTGATACTACTGACACACTACCGCCAAACTACCAAAACATCAGCCGACACAGTACCGACACACTTTCTTTTCCACACTTGTCTGTAACGTCCTCTTTGGAAAACTTTCACTCATGATATGAAAATGAATACGTACTTTCCTTTTGGCTACCATGTTGTTGGTCGTGTTATTAGAACCCAGTACTAATAACACTAACCAATTTCACTCAAATCATGAGTAAAAGTTTTTCAAAGATGTTACAGATAAGTGTGGAAAAGGAAGGTTTAGCATTGTTTTAGACTAATAAGATCCAAACAGCTACTGACATAACACCACTGCACCACCAACACATCACTGACACAACACCAATGCATTTAGTACATTATAAGGATAAATGGTGGCCAACACATTGGTAGGATTGAATTCTTTACCTTTACCAAAAAATGGTTATAGTTTATTACTTCATTTTCCTGAAGAAATCAAAGAAAGAGAGAAAAAATGCTGTACATTCAGGAAAAGCACGTTTGTATTATGTGGGATTGATCACCACCATTAATTGTATCATTTGCTTACCATTTACAGTAACAGTTAAGGTCATACTGTATGCTGTTCCTACAGAGTTGTTTGCCATGCATTTGTAAATGGACACTCCTCCACTTGACATGTTCCTGCTCCACATTCCAAGATGGTTACTGCCATCACTCACAGGTGAATCATTCTCCAACAGCTGATAGGTCTCCACTGCAGGATTTCCATCTGCTGAACAGTTGAAGGTCACCACAGTACCCTGGCACACAGTTGATTTACTCACTGTGAACTTGAAACTATCTGGTTTATCTGTAAGCGTTTAATCATACCCATCAAGGACAAGTACTGTGCATTGCTAAGTGGGTTTCTAATAAAGACACGACACCAATTGAGTTGAAAATGAAAACACTGACAGGTATGCAAAATACATAAATTCCCTTTGTAGGCAATTACTTACAATGCACATCAATGCTTGCCATCGCTGTTGCATTCCCACATTCATTACTGGCTTCACATTTGTATTGACCAGCTTCATTCCTGCTAATGTTCTCGAGCTTCAACACATTTCCAGCAACACTTTGATTATTGGGCTTAATCCAAGACATGTTTGGCTGAGGCATTCCAGATGCAGCACATGTCAGATCTACAGTTTCACCTTCAGATACATTCTGATCTTGAATTGTTTCGATAGTTGAAGGCACTGTGGACAAACACAAAATTAGAGAATGTACCAAATCAAAACCTTCAGTCAGTAAAAATTTTTTTTGTAAATGTATTAATTCACCACATTTTTATGTAAAAATACATCGCTATCTTAAACTTGAACAATAGCCATTGCTGGGGTCCCCTGTAACAAACTGGTTGAGTGATTGCATCCAAAGTGAGAAACAATGAAATATATGAAGTTCATATATTTTTTTGTTTCGTACTGCGGTATTAGATACATATGGCACGATCCTCGCAGTAGATAGCGCTATTTATTCTACTGCGAGGATCGTGCCGTATGTATGCATCCAAAGTATTCTTCATTTTTTGCCTTCTATGGTTCAAAGCAGTTAATGGAAATTAAATTAAATTTATTGGACTCACAGCTTTTCTGCTTATTTAATTAGGTGACTCTGGTAACCGTAATAAAACTGAATGTACGAAAATGCACATCATTAAAATGGAATTTCTTTTTTGTGTTTTGTACCTGAATCATCTGACAAGGACAAGGGCAAAGCTGAAACGCTCTTGTCAATATCTCTAAACCCCTTTTCTCACTCTAACCTTTAAATGTCCTGAGTCTAAATACAAAATGATTTGTTCCAATATGCCAAACAGCTAAGCCAATGATGTAAATTGGCGAGTGAATGCAAGAAAACAATTTTACAGCCTCAGTATGTACAGTTAAGCTTACCATTCACTGTCACCATAACATATGAGCTGACTCCTGATCCTAAAGAGTTGTTGGCCACACATTTGTACATGAACACTTCGCCTGTTGACACGTGTCTTTTCCACACTCCAAAACGGGTTACGTCTAAGATAGCAGTGTCGTTCTCAAACAGCTGGTATGATGTCACCGCTGGATTAGCATCGGCTGAGCAGTTAAAGCTAATCATGTCACCCGTACATGCTTTGTTATCCATGGCAGATGTTGTAAATTGCACATTCTGTGGTGTGTCTAAGAAAATTACGAACAAATTGTGTCAAATATTGTAATGGTTGAAAGGTCACTGCATTCAATTTTTTTCCTCAGGTTATATAAATTTTCGCATGGATATTTAAAGTTCTGGCCCCGGTTGTTCGAAGGATGGATAACGCTATACACTGGATAAATCTCTATACGGTGGATAGCGCAGTATGTTTTCGTAACACTTATCCGCTGGATAGCGATTTATCGGTTGGATAGCGTTATCCGCCCTTTGAACAACCGGAGCCTGTATGATATAAAACACTAACTCTAAGTTAGACATTGTTTAAGCCAAACCCTATGTTTTTTCGCGGTCAAGGGCTAAACTATGTCTTACTGGGGAATACACGGTCTTTTGAGTGATTTACATGCACCGTTTGAAGGTTTTAACAAACATGGACTCAAAATCCGGCAGAAGAGAAAATTTTAGCTTCAGGAGAAAACCTTTTCCTAATGGAATCGGGAAGATTATTCAGATACAGAGAGTAAAAGCATATGACAATAAGACATTGACGAAAAAGGCGTAAACCAGGGAGGAAATTGAGAAAAAAAATTAACTCTCTACAATCCACATGCAATGAAACGGGACGTAAATCAAATTCAAAGATCCTGGAGGTGGTTGCAACCACATTCAAAAAGAGGAAAAGATTTCAAACGTCATGCTATCGTTTCAAGAATGACAAAAGTATTCTCAAGGGCTGTCTGCAGTCCTAAGTGCAGACATGAAAATCGTCGCTTTAGTAAACTGAGGCATCTCTCAATAACAAACTTAGTGCGCCTATGATATAGCACATTTCTTCACGAGTCTTTGGCTTGAGGATTAGTGTCATTAAAAACACCCTACAAGCTCAAGCATATTTACTAACACCTACTGGAATGCCATCATTAGTTTCCCTAAATTTCTCTGCGATCTTGCCGTTCTTAAAAATGCGCAAATCGTTAGTCCATCCAGGCCAACGTGTAACGATGGTAATTATGAATGCATCGCCGTCATAAAAAGGTTGGGACGTTGGTAGAGTAAAACTGTTTTCTGTTGATAAATGCTATGGTATTGTACTTGTTTGGAAATACGATCCTAATATGGGTACAATCGACGCCCCCGATCACACCTTGAAACCAAGCGACATCATAAGACTTTAATTTCATGCCACTTAATTCATCAAGAAAGACAGGAATTGTCTTTTTCGTCTCGAACCTGCCTTTAATATCCTGTGAATGATGGTGCATGTAGAAAACACTGAGACGCCAAAAGAGCCAGTCGCATGATATTCCAGAGCAATTAAGAATTGCTGCATGATTGTCAGTGCTGTATGGCAGACCTCCTATTGTTTGATATTTGAGATTGTACTCTAAACTACTAATGAGGTCTGCAAATGAGTCCTCTCTGAAGAGCGAATTCGAAAAACTTCTTAATTCATCTGAAAGGTTAATTATATTTAAAAGTCGCCCAATTTTTTTCTAGATTACAGACGACGTCTATTGGCGTGCTCCCTTAACTGTACTGTACATTGCCAAGTGGGTTTGTAATAAGGACAGTTGTCACTCATTCATAAATTCTCTCTACAGGCAACTACTTACAATGCACATTAATGCTTGCCATCGCTGTTGCATTGCCACATTCATTACTGGCGTCACATTTGTATTGACCAGCTTCATTCCTGCTAATGTTCACAAGCTTCAACACATTTCCAGGAACACTTTGATTATTGGGCTTAATCCAAAACACGTTTGGCTGAGGCATTCCAGATGCAGCACATGTCAGATTTGTAGTTTCACCTTCAGCTAAATTCTGATCTTGAATTGTTTCGATAGTTGAAGGCACTGTGGACAAACACAAAGTTAGAGACGGTACCAAAATAAAAACCTTCAGTCAGTAATATTTTTGTAAATGTTGTATTCATTCACCCCATTTTTACGCAAAAATACATCGATATCTTCAACACATGTACAATAGCCGTTGCTACGGACCTCAAAAACAAACTGGTTGAGTGATTGCATCCAAAGTATTCTTCATTTTTTCCTTCTTTGGTTTAAAGCAATCATTGGGAAAAAAAAATATTTTATTGGACTCAGCTTTTTTGGCCGCTTGTTTGATTAGGTGACTCTGGTAACCGTAATGGAACTGAATTTACGAAAATGCACATCTCTTAAATGGAAATGCTTTCTTGTGTTTTGTACCTACATCATCTGACAAGGACAAGAGCATAGCTAAAACGCTCTAGTCAATATCTCTAAAAACCCCTTTTCTAACTCTACCCTTTATATGTCCTGAGTCTACATACAAAATGATTTGTTCCAATATGCTAAACAGCTAAGCCAATGATGTAAATTGGCGAGTGAAAGCAAGAAAAAAGTTTTACAGCTTCAGTAGGTACAGTTAAGCTTACCATTCACTTTCAACATAACATGTAAGCTGACTCCTGATCCTAAGGAGTTGTTGGCCACACATTTGTACATGAACACTCCGCTTGTTGACACGTTTCTTTTCCACATCCCTAAACGGTTTACGTCTAAGACAGCAGTGCCGTTCTCGAACAGCTGGTATGATGTCACCGATGGATTAGCATCAGCTGAGCAGTTAAAGCTAATCATGTCACCCGTACATGCTTTGTTATCCATAGCAGATGATGTAAATTGCACATTCTCTGGTGGGTCTAAGAGAATTACAGACAAATTATGTCAAAATATTGTAGATGGTAGAAAGCTCACTGCATTAATTTTTATGCCTCGGGTTATACAAAATTCGCATGGAAATTTAAAGTTCTGTATGTTACAAAACACTAACTCTAAGGTAGACACTGTTTAAGCTAAACACCTATTTTTTGTTTTTTTTGTTTTTGCAAACGAAGGCCAAACTATGTCTTACTGGGGAATACGCGGTCTTTTGAATTATTTGCATGCACAGTTTGAAGGTTTTAATCAGCATGGCCTCAAAATTCGGCAGAAGAAGAGCAAATTTTAGCCAAGGAGAAAACCCCTTGCTTGTAGAATCGGGAAAGTTATTCAGATACAGAAAGTAAGAACCATGTCACACTGAGACATTGAAGAAAAAGGCATAAACGAGGGTAGAAATTGAGAAAACAATTTAACTTTCCAAAATCCGCATGCGATGAAACGGGAAGTAATCAAATTCAAAGACGCTAGAGGCGGTTGTAGCCACTTTTAGAGAAAGGGAAATATTTTTAACGTCGTGCCATTGTTTCAAGAATGACGAGTATTTTCCAGGGCTGTGTGCAGTCCTAAGTGCAGACATGAGAATCGTCGCTTTAGCAAACTGAGTGCGCCTATGTTATAGCGCATTTCTTCCCGATTCTTTGGCTTGAGGATTGATGTCCTTAAAGACGCCCTGAAAGCGCAAGAATATCTACTATCATCTACTGGAATGCAATCATTAGTTTCCCTAAATTTTTCTGCAATCTTGCTGTTCTCAAGAATGCGCAAATCGTTCGTCCATCCAGGCCAATGTGCAACGATGGTAGTTATGACTGCATCACTGTCATAGAAAAAAGGTTGAACGTTGGTAGAGTAAAACTGTTTTCTGTTAATAAATGAAATGGTATTGTACTTGTTTGGACCTACGATCCTAATATGGGTGCAATCGACGCCCCCGATCACACCTTGGAACCAAGCAACATCATAAGACCTTCATTTGATGCCACTTAATTCATCAGGAAAGACAGGAATTTTTCTTTTCGTCACGAAACTGCCCTTGACATCCTGTGAATGATGGTGCATGTGAAAAACACAGGGACACCAAAAAACCCAGTCGCATAATATTTCAGAGCAATTACGACTTACTGCATGATTGTCAGTGCGATATGGCAGACCTCTTTCTGTTTGATATATGAGATCGTATTGTAAACTTCTAATGAGGTCTGCAAATGAGCTCTCTCTGAAGTAAAAGCGAATTCGAAAATCGTCCAAATTCCTCTAAAAGGTTAATTCTATCTATACGTTTCCGAATTTTTTTTTAGATTACAGATGACGTCTAATGGCCTGCTCCCTGGACTGTCTGAAACACGTAATCTGTACATTTCAAATTGGCTGGCAATAGAAGTGCTCCATAAACAGAGTCTAAACCAACCTCCGAGCAGGTCTAAGTCGTTATTGTTCTTTCAGCGGTGGTTAAACATGTTCGAAACACGATTACGGACAAACAGTGTTCAAATAACCGGTTTCCACAGTTTTAAACATGGGTTAGACGGTGACTTTCATAAATACTGTTTATACTTCCTTCAAATAATTAGCCCTTACTGTTTAAAAATGTAGTAAGTCTTTTAATGTACATAAGTCGGTGTAAAAACAAAACAAAAAATTCAATGGATGATTTAAACAAGCGGTAGACCAAGACCGAGTTCTATATGATAAATATCATAACGATGATGTCAACAATTTGCTCTGATCCTTTGTTGTCTGAATGTATTGTTAATTGTATACATTAATCTGTTTCACATTACCTTTACCTTCATTTCAATTTACATAAATTATGCACATGTAATGAAAGCTACCTTCAGCGAATGGATTCACATAAACTTTAGAGAAGAAACATACTGATATACTTACACTGCACACCAACGCTTGTCATCTTTGTTGCATTGCCAAACTCATTACTGGCTTCACATTTGTATTTACCAGCTTCACTCCTGCTGATGTTTTTAACCTCCAACTTGTATCCACTAACACGTTCACCATTAGGTTTCATCCAATACACCGTTGGTGGGGGAACTCCAGATACATTACACATAAGAGTCACATTGTCACCTTCAGTTACATTCTGATGTTGTGTTATTTGGATAATTGAAGAAGGAACTGTGAAATGGAGAGTGAAAATAAGGAAAGGTTTACATGCATACAGCAGCTGGTCACTGGCTTGTAGCCAAACGTCATTCTAAACTTCATTCTAAGCGAACATTTCCCATCTTGCCGTTGAGTCTCAAAGTTCAGCTCTTAAAGGGAAAGTACGGTCTAGAAAAAGTTTACTTGTATCAAAAGTTCCTTACTTCCATTGTCCTAACTGGCTATTCCTTTAAACTAAAAGCGGTTTAGTTACGAACAATTACGTTCCAAAAATCGACATTTTAAAATTGAAATCCGCCATCTTTGTTATGACGTAGCAATAGTCAAGCATGCTAATTATATCCCTGCTGAAGTGGATGTAAACAAGAAAAACAGCGGCGAGGGGGGCGCCACTCATTAAATTCTCGACTTCGATTTTAATCTAGCCGAGAGGATGTAATGCATCCATTTGAATATTTTTTTCTCACAAATGTTATCAGAGCAACGTTATAACCTCCTACGAAACCCTTCACTTTAGCTTACTCTGCCTACATCTCAAATAATTATGTGTTCCATTTCTCATTGTCTGATTGAAATCAGCAAATTACTCTTCCCCCATTTTTAAGGAATAGAAAGAAAAGCTTCAGTGATACTCCATATAAACAATTCTCTCCATCACAAGTGAAATATGGCAAACTGATATAACGTGTTAAGGACATACAAGAAGCAACAAGTAACAAGGGACAGCTGTTACATCTACTTACGCTGCACATCAATTCTTGTCACATTTGTTGCATTGCCACACTTATTACTGACTTCACATTTGTATTCACCAGCTTGAGTCCTGCTAACGTTTTCAACCTTCAACGGGTTTCTACTAACACGTTCACCATTAGGTGTTATCCAAGACACTTTTGGTGGGAGCACTCCAGATACATTACACATAAGAGTCACATTGTCACCTTCAGTTACACTCTGATGTTGTGTTATTTGGATAATTGAAGGAGGAACTGTAAATGAAGAGTGAAAATGAGGAAGGGTTTAAATTCATATAGCAGCTGCTCACTGGCTTGTAGCCAAATGTCAAACAAGCAAAGATTCCCCATACGGCTGTTGAGTCTCAATGTTAGCTCCTCAATGTCAAAGTTTTAATTTGCAACTGGGTGTACATAAAAGTACACTCATGAAAATGCCGTATTTGCATGTATAGTTTATGAAAAACTGGGCTATTTTATTTACCGTCCACAGTAACAGCAACATTCATGCTGTTTTCTGATCCTAGAGAGTTCTTGGACACACATTTGTAGAAAAACACTCCTTCATTTTCCAAAGTCTTGCTCCACATTCCTGCGGCATTTGCTTTTAAAATGGCAGTTTCGTTCTTGAACAGCTGGTATGTCACTGTTGGATTAGCATCAGCTGAGCAGGTAAAGTTGATGATGTCACCCAGACAGGCTTTTTTGTTCACTGCAGATGTTGTCAGTAGCACTTTCTCAGGTTTGACTATGAAAAAGCAAATGTTTAAAATGATCATTAGCCTTTACAAAAATATATTCTCCACAGGATCTTAAAACAGTGAAGTATGGTGTGTAAAGATTAAAAGCTCACATTGCACATCAATGGTTGCCATCTCTGTTGCATTGCCGCAAACGTTACTGGCTTCACATCTGTACGCTCCAGTTTGATTCCTTCTGATGTTCACAAGCTTTAACACACTTCCATTTTCACTCTGACCATCAGGCTTAATCCAAGACACCCTTGGTGAAGGGATTCCAGATGCATTACATGTCCGAGTCAAATTGTTGCCTTCTGTCACATTCTGATCTTGTATTACTTGTATGGAAGATGGTACTACAATTTTAAAACAAATGAACAGTATAATTATTTGTGGTTTCACATGCACATGGGAAAAACAACAACTGAGTCACCCAAAGTATTAGACCTTTCTTGGGGATTTTGCTACAACAGCTCCACTGAAGGTTTGACACCCATTAATGCAAGGCTGCTTAACTTGTGGTAGACAATATTTGACCAATGGGACAAAGTACTTAATATTTTCTCCTAAGACTGTTAAAGCAGAGCTGTGGCACCTCATTTCTTTCGCAACATCAGCTTATCCCAACACAAAAACATTTCCAGGATGACCCCTCCAAGAACAAGCTCAGAGATGATGTATGGAACCCAGGATTCCTGACCCCCCTTCTTTGGCTACACTTGAGATGTCAGAATGTTTAAAGAGTTCTCTGACTCAAGACTCATTTCTGTGGAGGGGTTATGTCCTTTCAAAGGTACTAAAAAGGCAGAGATTATCAGTAGGCACTTGGCAGCCTCCATAACAAGCACATGCCCTACCAAATTATTGATGAGAAATACAGCACAGTGGTCAACCATCACCAGTAGTGCACTAAATCAACAACAAGAATTTCCCTCCTGAGTCAATGAATAGTTGCTGAAATAGTGAGGATGCAACCTCATTTTTTACATATTACTGATAATCTTATTCTGTGAGAATTAAATAAATTTGGGTAAAGGTAAAGAATCTGATACTACTGACAAACCACCACCAAACTACCAAAACATCAGCCGACACCGTACTGACACACTTTCTTTTCCACACTTGTCTGTAACGTCCTCTTTGGTAAATTTTCTCTCATGATATGAAAATGAATACGTACTTTCCTTTTGGCTGCCATCTTGTTTGTCATGTTATTAGAACCCAGTACTAATAACACTAGCCAATTTCACTCATATCATAAGTACAAGTTTTTCAAAGAAGATGTTACAGATACGTGTGGAAATTAAGGAAGGTTTAGCATTGTTTTAGATAAATAAGACCCAAACAGTTACTGACATACCACCACTGCTTCACCAACACATCACTGACACAACACAAATGCATCTAGTACATTATAAGGATAAATGGTGGCCAACACATTGGTAAGATTGAATTCTTTACCTTTACCAAAAAATGGATATAGTTTATCACTTCATTTTCCTGAAGAGATCACAGAAAGAGAGAAAAATGCTGTACATTCAGAAAAAGCACGTTTGTATTTTGTGGGATTCACCATCATTAATTGTATCATTTGCTTACCATTTACAGTAACAGTTAAGATCATACTGTATACTGTTCCAGCAGAGTTGTTTGCCATGCATTTGTAGATGGACACTCCTCCACTTGACATATTCCTGCTCCACATTCCAAGACTGTTGCTGCCATCACTCACAGGTGAATCATTCTCAAACAACTGATAGGTATCCACTGCAGGATTTCCATCTGCTGAACAGTTGAAGGTCACCACAGTACCCTGGCACACAGTTGATTTACTCACTGTGAACTTGAAATTCTCTGGTTTATCTGTAAGTGTTTAATCAGAAATAGAACGGTACAAACAATATACATTATTATTACCAGTCAGTTAGGGTTCTCCAAAATTTCATTGCATTTCATTGTTTCATATCAATTTCCAGTCCTATGGAAAGCCTTGACATGTGTAATTAACATGCGTTTAATGCCACCATTCAGCTGCTGACACATCCTGACCCCTTCAAATTTCCACTGTCTGGTTAATGAATACTTGAAAAGTAACGACACAGCATTCACCACTCTCAATCCAAGGAAGTTTGTCAGAATTGTCATGGATTATGGCTGTTAAAAAACTGAGATGTTAAGTAATAAACAAAATCAAATGAATGGCTGCCCGTAGATATGACTTTCCCTGGTTGAGTGGAACTTGATGTATCAAGATGAATATCCTGAGAAACATATTTCATAACAAGTGTGCCCATATATTAATCTCTTTAGTTTCCAATGCAGTCATTTAATTTCTAAACAAGCTTGAAAGGAGAGAGGAAAGTGCCTCACAGCTCAGGAGTCTAGGAACTTACACTATCCCTTAACAAAGAGTGGAAAATGTGCTACAACATAAACCTTAATGAAGGAAGACATACTTTCACTCAATTATTAATTAATAATAACCACTTACAGAGCATAGTGAGGAAAGTGCTAGCAGAGCTAGTTCCACAGTCATTTCTAGCTTCACATTTGTATTCACCAGCATCATTCCTGCTGATGTTTGTAAGATCGCGCATGATTCCATTCGACTGACTACTCGTGCTAACTTCTGTCCACGTCACAGTCAGCATACTTTCAGAAGTATTACATGTTAAAGTCCTGTTTTCACCCTCTACCACTGTGATGTTCTCCAAAGGATAATCTTTAGAGGGTACTGCATAGCCAAAAAAGAGAGTGTAAAAGTACATAACACTATTAATTTCCTACACACTCATCAAATTCTCTTTCTCTTTCATATATAATTATAGTACCAGTATATAATTATACAAAAACACATTAATTGATTTAAATATCATTATACATTTCTATAATGCCAAAGTAAATGTATTCCTTTGAAATGAAGAAACTTTGCAGCTTGCACTCATTTCACAGCATGTGAATTATTTCAATGGGTTCATGGTTACAATTGTATCTTATTCCAGGACTCTTATCAGGGTTTTCATCGAATGTTGACTTAATTCTGGCTAAATTTACAGTTTAAGTAAAAGGTGAATTCCGGATATATTGTATATGTATTTCAGCCACAGCTGAAGAAGGCTGCAGGATAAAATTTGTGCAACCGCTGTGGATCTCCATCTCAGCAGGCTCAGGTATGAACTAACCACATGTTACATGTACTTGTACAATTTTCGTGTATATTATTAGCTACATGTATAGCCCAGTTAGTTATCCCAGTTAAGGTCAGTGATTCAAACATCTGTTACACCCTGAACACTTAATTAACTTTTAAAGCTATTACTTGAGGCCAAATACTCGATACATAGCATTACAGGGGAAATATTTGCATTGAGAGTGTAAAACACCAGCCTGTGCGAAATTTGGGAGCCTGCCAGAGCCTGAATACAGCCTGATTCCAGTCTGATTACTGTTCATAGAGCTAGACATAAACATGACAAGAGCCATCCAAAAAAATTGTCTGGCTCTCAGCTAAAGAGCCAGACAAATGTTACACTCTTTTCTGGGCCATGGCTGGCCATACAAGGCTAACAGGAGCAGGGCAAGAGTAGGATAAGAGCAAGACAACACTGAATACCTTCAAACATTTTTCAGGTGACATGTAACTATGTCAATGTGCCTGATTTCAGAGCCCAACATGAGACTGCCACAAGCCAGACAAACAGTAGTTCAAATATATATATTCTTATCTTGTTGAATTGCCAATCAAAACTTCACTTTCACTTGAATAACATAGCAAATTAAGTCACCCAACAATGTTTATGTCTTTCATATGTTTGTTGAATGTTTATGTCTGTTTTCTGGACACAGACAAGTTAGTATGAGATATTTTGAGAAAGAAATCTAAATAGTTGATCATTCTATGAAATGGGTTTAGTTGAGGCTTACTGAACAAATATAAAAGTACATTTAACTTGGTGTTTAGGGCAGAGCTTTGAGTATTTATAATTTGGAGAAAAAGCATTGAGGAGAAAATTTTTTTTTTTAATATACAATCTTTTTAAAAAATACAGTAGCCTTGAATACATGTCCTGTGCTTGGGAACACAAAGAAACTGCTGCGATATGGTAGTAGACCTCAAAAGTGTATCCAGATTTTTTTATCAATAAACTATTTATCGTAATTTATGTGTGTTTTATGAGTTGTACAGCCAAAGTAAAATGGGGGTTTAAGCAATTTCTACATCACTTATCATTTTTCTGCAATCAGGCTAATGCCCAGCTTATATCAGGCTCGTTTTCCTGTTCTGAACAATTTTTTTTTTGTCTGGCTTTTTTCAGGCTGAATTACTACTCTTGTCTTGATGAGTGTCAGTCTAATGTCTGGCTTGTATCTGGCTCGTGTCCTGTTAGGTACAATTTTTTGGCCCTTGCATGGTTCAGGGCTAATGCACATTTTCTGCTCTGTGCCAGGTTCTTATTAGGCTCTTTGTGGCTCTGTCTGGTTCTACTCATGTCCTGTAGTAGTTTCATGTAGGCCCTTGTCTTGTTCAAATGTAAAGTGGTATTCAGGCTCTTCTCCAGCCAAACATTTTTTTGCACAGGAGAGGTAAACACAAGCATACTTTCACCAAACTGTATCTAAAAGGATTGCTGACAGTCAACAACCACATTCTCACACCGTACCTTTCGCTGTGATATTGACAGTCTCCTCAGATGTACTGATAGTGTTATTAGCCACACATCTGTAGCTAAAGTTTCCTTCTTTTAAATCCCTGCTTACTATCCACACCCCAGCTGAGCTGTTTCCATCAGCAACTGGTATTCCATTCTCAAACAGTTGATAAGTATGCACTGCAGGTCTACTGTCTGCTGGACAAGTGATACTAATGACATCACCTTCACAGATAGTTGAATCATTCACCAATGGCTTGACAATATCTGGTTTAAGTAGAAAAAGGAAAAAAAATATATTTGATTGTGCATCAGTATATATGCTCCCATAAATTGAGGGGAAAGGCAGGACAGCAAATTGTCTATACCTGTGTGGCATATACCCTAATTGTTTCTTTTAGGTCCAATGTCATATGGGGATTGGTTACTCCTCCTTCCCTTTTTTTTTTTTTTCCAATTCTGACTTGCTTTTTTGTCTTTTTGTAATTTGTAAAACAAATTGAAAACAAATGACTGAAATCTTTAATTTCCAAAATAGAAATCTGTAACTTGAAAAATTGCACAAATTATAGAATTACAGAATTCAATTTGTCAAATTACAGATTTCAAATTAGTTTCATTTCTTTTCAGCTCACAAATTACACTAAGCCCCTTTTCCTTTATCTATTCACCTTGAATCTGACAATGCCCTATGCTGGGCTGTAAGGCTTTTTAATGCACTGCTTACATTACCACCACATCTATTTTAAACTATTTTTTTGGATAAAAGTGCATTCACGACTATGCAATCATAAAAAACAAGTAAATTCTCATTTACTTCTTTGTGGTTGATTTATATGTTTCCTTTTCTTTCTTGAGTTCTATTTGTATCATTATCATTTCAACCTTAATTACGACAATCATTCCTAGTCTATGAAATAAAAAAAAAATTAAGCTACAACATAGTTTATCTACTTACAGTTAACTTCTACTTTAATTGTGCGATTTGGTGCAGTTCCTATCCCATTATATGCCGTACGGTGATATGTTCCACTGTTAGTTCTGTTTTTTTCAAGGACAAACTGATTCCCAGTTGTCAGTACACCACCATCACCTCCATTGTCATATACTCTGGTCCAGGTGACGATTGGCGTTGGTTCACCATCCTCAGTACACTCTAAAGTAACACTGGGGTCACCTTCACCTTCAACAAGAACCACATCATTACTGACGCTGGTGAATTCTGGTGGATCTGTTAAACAAAGAAATAATTTTGGGCAGAGTCATACAAATCTCTGGGAAACACTTAGTTCAGGTGAGTGCTTTTCCATGAATAAAAGAGTGTTAAAAAACACCAAACCTGGAGTACAGGTGATTGTTATTCCAGCAACCAAACACAAAAAGAAAAAATGCCAAAACAAGTTGACATGAATTAATGCAATGTAAAAACACTGGGAAACTTCTATTTAGCAAAAATTCCCTTTAAACGTATACTTTTAAATGTACCATTAATTGGTCAAGAGAGTTGCACTAGATTTTGCATGCGAGAGACCTACTAGAGGTAAACTTCTCCCTGAAATACAAGTACTTTTGCTCATCAAGTAAAATTACCATCTTTACCATATTAGATATCTTCACACCTACAAGTTATGTACAAAATAATTTTACTTTATTTTCTTTACTACATGAACAATCCTTTTTTAATGGTCATTACTGTTAAGAGGTATAATGGATAAGATAAACAGTAACTGAGCAACAAATAAAATCTTCAATTTTCAGTAACTAAAGAACTGCATGTGCATAATAGTCCTTTTAATTCATCTCCATGCAGGTTTGACCTGCATAGAAATGAATTAAAAGGACTATTATGCACATGCAGTTCTTTAGTTACTGAAAATTGAAGATTTTAAGATTTAAAAGGTTATTTTCCAATGTATGATGTGCCAACATGTATCTAAGCAACCTTACAGTGGCTATCTACAGTGTACAACAACCACTGTATACACTGTCATCTTAAGCAGTTATTCACAAGAAAAGTGTTAATAAAATACCCAGCAGTATATTATTTGCTTAAAGAGATTTACTTAGTGGATTAGAACATATACTGTATGATGTTCATAGAACATTGGTGGTTGGTTTGGTGCAATTTCAAAACATCAAATTAAAAAAAAGATTCAGCAAGTAATAATCAGTTATCAAAAAAAAGAACATACATCTGTACAATGTATTCAAATCTATAAAGAATTATGCATTATACAGTATTTTTAACTTCAAGAAAGATATTGGCAGAGATGAAGTGGGTACAATATGGGTTATGACCACAAATAATACTGTTTCAAAGTTCTTCATGCATATTTTTGTGAAAATCAGGTGTTCTTAAAAAAATACCGCTATGCAAATTACACAATCATCTAAGATAAACAATTCCCACATACTGTGAAAGCTCTAGAATCATGCCATGAATTGAAAGAAAACAAAAATCTATACCCCAACACCAATATTATTGTAAGTAATTTCAATCATTATGGAATATTTCTGTGGGAGTTAAGATCACATCAAAGTTTTTTAAAACAACTTGAGGGTGATTAGTCATTATTTTGAAAAACATTTGTTTTAATTGCTCCACATGATGAAAGAGGCACTATAACCTGTCACAGATGCATCCCTTATGACTATAGACATTCTCAGTTTCTCTTTTCATTTACTTATTTAGCCTCAAATTCCATCCAAAAAAAATTCAAAATTAAGGCAAAATTCTGTCTGACAACACACATGTATATACAACTAAATAAGAGCAGATGTCGGTTGATTGCATCAATATCAACCTTTGTTTACATCATAGGAACCAAAAACTCAAATTATATTAAGCACTTGTAAGTAGTTTGACCTAAATACTTGAAATAGACAAAATGAAAGGTGGGGAAAATCATGAAAATTTGCACAGTCACTGTTTGAAGGGAACAATTGAGCATTTCAATAGACATTACATCATGAAGAAAACATTGCTTTCCTTTTGAGACCCAAACGGCTTGAAGAAAAATAATTCACTTTTTGTGCTGTAAGAACATTTGCTGTCTTTCACTTCCTCAAAGTAGTTTCCGTAAAAAGCAAAACGTTCTACATCACTTAACCAATCCATGGGAATAAAAACAAAAACAATAATAACAAGTTTCCACCATAACATACATAACTAAAGTATTTCATAGCTGGTTCATGAATGCAAAATGAAATAAAACAAAAAACTTAAATTGTTTATATGTACAGAAGAAAGATTTTGTATACAGGTTTGGTTTGTATATAATTCAACAATATGATAGTTAGATTCTATGTGCCTGACCAAGATTAGTATTACTATTGAGTGAATAGAGCACTACATGATAGAATAATGAAAGTTCAGAAAATAAACTTATATTTATCTGATGGATAGCATGAAGCAGAGGCCTGCACAGTCTGGGGTTGCCAGGATATGAGGGGTTATACAGTAGTGAACTAAATCAGCCACAGTCAAAATTAATAATTGAAAACCCACGAGAGTCAGTAAAGTCAAACAAGTCAATTAAGAACTGATCTGCAGTTTCTGCTGATGAAGGTGGACTACAGATAGGTTGAATAGGGTTTAAAAACAGCCAAAATATTCTCTATACAGTTCTGCCAGAAACATGCAACCTCACAGAATGTAAAATCTTAATCGTGTCACAGGTTTTAAACAAAGATGTAAAATACATAAGGAATAGGGGCAGAGAAGTCTCAGCAATTGGAAAAATGCCTTAGGAAACAATGAGAGTGTTTCATCAACCACAGGTAGCATATTGGTTTAAAGTCCTGACATAATTATTCTACTTTCAGTTTTCCTTTCCAAAGGCCATTATCTATTTGTTAAACAAACCCAATCCACACATTTTCTGAAAGCTCAGGAGCTGACTATATGACAAGCATATAAGGTTTTTTTTTTCCAGAGACTAAGATAACTCAAAAAAATTCTACAGGAACTTTTCTAGGAATTTGACTAACTATGTTTCCACGAGTTTCAAGACAACATTACTATGGATTAATTAGTCATTACTTTACATAACTTCAAATGCTGTCATGAATCCACACAATGGAAAGGAGGTGCCAGACCTACAGTCTATTCTGGTTGCATGCCTGATAAGCAAGATGTTTTCAGCTTGACTGTGTGCTTTAAACAAATTGGACACAGCCTCCCTCAAAAGAAATTAAAAATTAACTCATAATTATCTCCAATTCATGACTAAGTCAGCGCAAATGTCTACCAACAAACCAATATCCAGCTTTTGTTTACGTAATAGGAACTTAAGTTACAAATAACCACAGGGAGTGAAATTCTCTTTGAAACCTCAAGATCAATTGAGTGACAAACAGCAAGAGTTCTCATACACTCTGTTAAATATACGAGTATTTTCTTTGCAAACATTGCTCTCTATGTACAAACCACATATTAGTTTGAGGAATTAATTTCCCTTATAAATATGCACTGCGCTGAAAGGAAATAATATGTTATACTTCACTGCCTTAAAAGAATGAAGGAAATTTAGAGGTACCCTTACCAAAATTAAGTAGACTTTTAGTATACTACTTCTGTAATCAAAGTGTACTTTAAAAAAGATACACAAAGTATACTTTCAGTAGACTTGAAGTATAGTTTACAGAGCTACTAAAAGTATACTTGTAGTATACTTGTTCCCACCTGAAACTGGAACACCCTTAAGTATACTTCAAGTATACTTGAAAGGTACTGAAAATTTTGCAGTGCACTTCATAATGATCAGAAACATCTCTTCCAAATTTGCACTTTCACTAGAAAAGTACTTTTTTGAAAACGAATGGTTTTTGATTATTCACACACACAAACACTATCTAAATAGTGTATCCACAACATTCAGAGCGCTATTTCGGGATGTGAAGAAACAGCTTAATATATAATTGGCACAATACAAATGATTCATGCGAGAAAAAAAATTAAATCGCAAACCTTTGAATAATTGGGAAAAACAATAAATAGAAAGCTCTTCATAGTTATCTGATGAAATCATTATACATGTACACAATCGTGAAATGCAAATGAACCGAAAGTGAGTTTTCTCGAACTTACCAACGGATAATATTAAGCTTATAGGCATGCTTTTAGTTCTCCCTTTGAAAAACCGACAACTTTGAAATTTTTACACTCATTAAATAATCGATGAAAAATTCGTTTAACACATAATTTAAGCGGCGTTAAAAAGCCACGCAACGGTTTACATTTATAACTCAGGCTCGGAGGGTATACGAACTGAGCGAAAATACGCGTTATGTCCGTAGAAGAGCTAGAGGAGTCGAGAACTACCGTATTCGCGCGTTTCCTCGTTTCAATAAATATGCAATTTAGAAACGTAGGTCTCGAACCTGCTTCGAGAGAAAACCGCCGCAAGTCTCGACTTCTTGCCGCATATCTTTGGGAATATAGGCGCTCAAAGGCTTTTCTTGTAGTAATTCAGCGACCACCTTGCGCTGCTTTTACATGAACAGCAATATTGTACGCCGAAGGTACCCAGAAAATAGCAGCAGTTTCCGTCAAGTATGTAATTTGTATGAAAAGAAAAAATCCAAAGGAAAAATGAAATTCACCAACTAGAATGTTTCAACATTTTTCAATAAATATAACCAGGAGAGATACTTTTCATAAAACTTCTGGTTTACTTACACTGTACTTGAACAGTCACTCTGTCGCTTGCACGCTGGCGATTACTGTTGAATAATTCAATTTGGTATTCTCCACTCTCCGATCTCTGAAAATCAAAGATTGTAATTTCTGCATGTGTGGCATTGATGTGTTCTTGAACGCGACCTTGGTAAACAGTTTCTGGAACCGCTGCGTCGCGGTTTATGTCATATTTGTCCACAACCGTAAGGGTGGTGGAGCTGCCGATGAACTGCAAGACAACATCGTCCAGCGATCCATCAAGGTTGTACTGCCACACTGAGGTAATGTTGCTACCTTCCAAAACATAGAAAGGATCTGGAGGATGTGCCGTAAATGTTGGTGCTAAGTCTAGGAAAGAAACATAGTGGTCAGGGTCAGCTAAAACTTCTGTGATAACTTTAACGCTTTAAATGGCGTAAAGTTTGTAAGGAAAATTCCCTTTGTCTTTGTATGTTTTAAGCTTTAGTAACACCTTCTTTAGATGAAAGCCGAGTTAACTATCAAGACGACGATTAAAATGCAGCACCATTCAGCAGCGGAATCTAGCGCCAGAAAGCACTCAGCCATCCTTTCTTTCTCGTTTTGAATTACAGGCAAGGTTAAACCAGAAGAAAATCTTGAAAGCATAAATCAGCTTTCATAATAATTTCCACCGCATCGTAAGAGTTCCCAGTCATTACTACACAATACATATCCAGCTCCGTTATGGAAAGAGTTATACCTAAATCTAGAGCTTTTGAAAAATAACATGACAACTAACGATTTTTTTTACCTTATTTTCGTTCTTTTTTTAAGTTGCTACTTAAATGATCAAAACATGTCTTTCCTTTCTTCGAATTCAAATATACTGTTAATGCAATATTTGAATCGTAACCACCTTAAACTATATATCACCAAA